TTTTTTTTGACTCATCGGAGATATGGGTGTAGTGGACCGCCAACATGGAGGGGTATTGGCGGGACCGACCTCAACCCCACCATGAACTGATCAATTAATTTTGCCTTGCACTCTCCTTCATGCAACACCATAGGGTATAATCTTATTTTCACCTACTCAATACATACAACTATAAAGAGGTATTGCCCCCAATATGCGCTGTTATAGATGGAAATCATATACAGTTAAGTCTATTATCATTTGACGCGAAACATGCTCATAGAGACTGTCTGCTTTCTACAAATAGTCTACATGCTAGTTAGTATATGCCTGTCTAACAACACCGTGCAATGAGAATCGCAATTACCGACATTGCCGCAGTATCATTCCAGATAGAGCAGTAACTTTTCAGCGCCTTTGGCACTCACACCTGTAAATCCCGTATCTTCTTTGTGGCTTCTTCCGCACCACTTGCTGTCTTAGAACTCTGCTTGCTCTTAGCTTTCTGGGAGGTGCTATCCTTCGCGAGTTCCTTGGTATAGGGGAGAAACTCTGGAGCACCTGGTATGTATTTCCGAAGAGGCTCTGGCACAATAAATCCCTGTGCTCTGTGTCAGGTATGTTTTTTCCAGAATGGGTCAATATCGAAAGAATACGTACATCCTCCTTTTGATAATTCTCAAGAATACAGCAAAGCGTCCGCTCAGTAGCACACAGGGTGGCATTCAAAGCATGAACATACGACTTCTTAACATCTGTCGCTTTCTTAGTGCCATACCGAATTTCCAAAGCCGGGCTTGATAATCTGTGCAGTTGGAGCAAGAAACCAACTCCTTGTACTCTCCCTGAAATGGGAACCAGGCTTCGAGGTCATATTTCTTAGACGCCGCATTGTTCAAGGCTCCGGACACAATGGCAACTATCTGATAAGGAAGCCCAAGAGACTTGTAGAACTCTTCCGAAGTAGCCATCATCTCCTCGAAAGCTTCCCATGATTGTTCAGGTTTGGTAAGGACGAATTGCTCGATCTATGACACAGTGAGAAAAAGAACTACGGCACATAACGCGATGTTCCTTACCTTCTCAAACTGATGGACGCGGAAAATACCCCAAGCGTCTTTACCATGAGCTCCTGCTTCTTTGCGGTAGCATGTGCTATACCCAGCATACCTGTCTCTTGGTTAGCTAGATTACTAAAACTGCATTGGCCCAACTCACTTGATTGGGAGATCCTTGTCCTGGAGCCATTCACCGTCATGCAAAGCCGATAAAGGCTGTTCTGAAGTGGCGATGAGGTATTTGTCTGTGGATTTGTCCTCACTTTCTGTTACCTTATACAATTCCTCGTCAAATTGCTCAAGCTGAGCTGTTTTTGCCATCATGTCCTTCAGCATGAATTGAGGCGGCTGGTTCGGCTTGTAACCCTTTCCCCAAAGGAATTCCAGGCCGTAGTTGATCAACGCAAGATTTAAGAAAAGTCCATACCCTGTCAGGCAGTATCCACGGTGGCCGACAATCTTTACACCACGTTCGGGGTCGTAGCCGTCAAGGCGAGTGAGAACTTCATGATGAGAAAGGCAATCGCGCTTCTCGACAATGACATTCTCGGGTACCCATGTCTTAACCACTACATTGTCGTCCTTATAACTCATGTCAGCCTCTTTGCCAAACGAAACTTTTAATAGGTGGTAGAGACCTACTTCGTTATTGCTCACAGGGACCGAGTCATGCACATAATTACCAATTGTTCGGAGTTTGCTGTCTCTTTGCCTTTCCTTTTCAAAGGCCAGGTCTTCGGCTTCTTTCTTGCGTCGTTCAAGCACAGCTTTCTCTTCGAGAAGGGAACTTGCATCTTCCTTGTTCTATTTAGGCAATAAATATTAGTGTGGATTTTGATAGCAGAAGATTGGAAGAAAGAACAAAGCTACTTGTAGCCATGAGTGAGACGGACCTTTTTTTTCTTTCCAATTTCTTTTTGAAGTCCATTGAGCTGAGAGCCTATCTGCATAACCTCGTACCGTGCTGCAGCATGTTTCAAAATTTGCTAACCTTCTTCGGCGAGGTAATGATATCTTCGAAAAACATACCTCGGCGGGCTCCTTCATATAGTGCAAGAACTTCATCGACTACATTTTCTGAAGCGAATCGTTTCCGCTGACTCTCCTTGACCTTGTTTGGGTTTCCACCGCGGTCACTGACGAAATCAGCGATATCAAGCATTTTGTAGGAACTGAAGGCGTAAGTATAAAGCAGTAGTCGGTCCTAGCAGATTAGCCTCTCGGATTTTGGCAATGCGGAGTGAAGTTGGATAGGAGCCACAAATGTCCTAGTCTTGGTCACGCAATGAGGGGTCAAAACTTGGGTGGCCTGGATTAGGGCATAAACTATGCATAGAAGTAGTTTAACTCCGAGTCTCTGACATGAGGGGCAGTGGCTTAGTCAGCAGAATCGACTAACGTAACCCACGGGCGAGTGGCCATCCCGAGCGAGCGGCCGCCTCCTGTATTCTATAGAAAATAGCATATTTTTGAAGGTCAATATCTTAACAAACTTATATTTTATGTACTTAATAACTTGCTATAGTATTATTATAGATATTCTTTTATTTAAATCTTAGATATCTATAGAATTAGATTTCTAGAGATATAAATTACAGCTTTATATAAATAATACTATAAAATATACAGTAATTTATATTACTCTGGTAATAAAAAATTATTAGAATCTATAAATTAAAGATCTCATTATTATAGTCTATATCAGTCTATAAATAAAATTGTAAGTAGATAGAATATAATCTTGTTGAGATATTGACCTTCAAAAATATGCTATTTTCTATAGAATACAGGAGGCGGCCGCTCGCTCGGGATGGCCACTCGCCCGTGGGTTACGTTAGTTGAAAATAGACAAGTTTGTATAGAATACGGAGCTGACCCAGCTACTTGCGTGCGGTAAGCGGGTGGCTCATGTAGGCTTGGATTGGTATAGTCCTAGACATACTTTAGAGTACAATCAAACAATCAATATTCTATCAACCTGTTGGAGCCTGACTACTGATATACTTTAGAGGGTGGGACAGGAAACTCGCCGTTAAGCTAAGCACCTAGTAGGTTTATACCTCATCGAGTTCTCAGAGTTATGCAACCCTCATCACAGGTTATTAGTTATTAGTAGCATCTGCATCCGAAAAGCAGGGATCCTGCGCAGTTTCTTTCCCTATAGAGTGCAAGATTCTATGAAAATACTTCTGCTTGGTGTTTCCGGTGCCTATCCTCCGTCTCAGTGAAATTCCAGTGCCAATAAGAATGAAACCCCCATTTGTCTAAGACTTAGGTAGCTTGCTTGCCATGATATGGAACCGGTTAGTTCCTGGGGTGAGTCAGTCCTACCATCCCTTTTCTTCGCTCTACCAGCGAGCAACTCTTGTTGCGGCAAGCCGAAAAAGTTCCTTCCCCCGTGGGGTGAAGCGGGTGAATCTTCCGATAAGTTTTCATAAAAAATCGTATAGTAAGTACATGCCAATTTCATCTGGAACAATCTCGAGCCCGTACTTCTCTATTCTATTAGTCGCCATATACTTAGCTCGAAACATCCATTATCTCCAAGGCCATGGCTATTAAGAGAGACAATGAGACAGAGGAACGCCACAAAAGTAATAGAAGATGAAAAAGAGAAATGGTTGTAGAAGGAGGAGGGGATAAGGGAGACAAATGGGATGAGTCGGGGTAGAAAGAAGAGCAAAGGTTGAAAACAGAACACTTCAATCTGTTCAATGGCAGGTGTACTTCGCAGGGGGCTTAGAAAATAATTGTCTTTATCACACCATTGCAAACACCCCACCCGCGAGCATGTAGTGAACACATGGGACTTTCCTTGGTTGTCCAGCAGTAGCTGACGGTCAGCGGAAGCATTTTATGTTCTGTGCTTATTCACATTGCTTCAGTTTCCGTATCACATTACAGCACACTTGTTCCCTCCTGTGGGCTGCGACGGATTCTGGGACTTCTCGATCTCCCCTATCATTAAATCGAAGGCTTTCTCAACATTGTAACCCAAGCGGGCACTAGCTCGGTAAAAGCACAATGGAAGTCTTCTCCTAACCCCCGGCCTTCGTCCAATGATACTTGGCGTTGTTCGGATTTCAAATCACTTTTGTTTCCGACGACCACAAGTGGCACGTAATCCGCTCCCTATCGTCTGATCTCAGTTTCTAAAGTAGACAAAAGTATCGGTCGGCGTCGGGCACCCAGCACTCACAAGGTGATTTAGTATCTTGTCTCGAATGACCCTCACCATATCGAAAGACTGGCGGGAAGCCACCGAGTAGACAATGATATACCCATGAATCCCAATGAAGTGCTTAGAGTTCAAGATACTGTACTCATCCTGGCCCAGCATTAGCTTCTGGAAGGACACTTTGCTGCCATAACCCTTACTTGACCAGCTGTGTCAACAATCTCCGTTGCAAAATCTTGGCCGTTGTGCTTGATGATTCGACTAAACGTGTTCTCGATAGTCGGATAATAACTTTCTACAAAATGATGCTCAACAAATCGAACCGTAAGGGAAGATTTACCTATTAAGTTCTGTCAGTGACCAAGATTCCGCACAAATAAAAGCTGGTTCAGCACAAAAGTGGAGGTCCTCATCGTATACACACCCACAGACCGACTACCAACGATAGCTATCTTTCGCTGTTTTGGTGCAGTAGGCATTTCCACAGCTTTTGGTGACGTGCGGAACGATAATCCGCTAGGATAATATAATTCGCTATTAGAAGAAATATATATCCCGCTACCAAGGATCGCGTCTCTATAGTCGCGGCGAAAGGGGTGTCAGAACAAGGTCTTAGCCAGTAACAGGAAAGCACCGATAGCAAGGAGCTCGCCGAGATAGAACTTGAGTGGGAAGCAAAACAATTGAACTTCAGTTCGGAGGCAGTGTTTGATGATGGGCGATGGAGTTGTCTTGCGGGTGGCAAATCAGTTAAAGTATGAGTCTCAGAACTGACTGGATACCTGAGGTACTAACGTAACCAACGGGCGAGTGGCCATCCCGAGCGAGCGGCCACCTCTGGTATTCCATACAAAATGATCTTTCTTAAAATCCTAAAATCTCAGCCAATTTAATCTCTATCGATCTAGGAATTTATATAGAGTTTGTGATATATTCTAGTAATATATTTACTAGCTTAGAGATTATGAAACTAATTAATTACAAGGATAATATATAATATATTGATTTTGTATATCAGATATATATATAATGTACAGATTTTGAACTTTAGACTAGATATTATCAGTTTATTTTTATATTATATATAGATAATGTCTGTATTATTAGTATAGCAGAAATTTAAACTAATATATCTAAGGGTAGCTGAGATCTTGGGATTAAAAAAAGCTATTCTGTATAGAATACCAGAGGTGGCCGCTCGCTCGGGATAGCTGCCTGTTAGTAGTAATTCCAGCCATTGAAAACGCAAACAAGTCAAACAGCTAGTTAAGATTTTACTATTATTATGTCATACGTCATAGTTAACATAACGTAACCGGCAACCGAACATTCCACGCCAGCGAGCGTTCCAGGCCCGTATCCTATATAAAATGACTATATTTATACTTTGGATATCACAAGAACAAGAAGTCTAGAGAAGCTGTAACTGATTCTAGAATATTAGAACTATATAATCTTTAAGTAGACTAGATATGAAACTTGTAATTTTAATATAGTATATATAGCTGTATTCTTATATATTTTATTAAATCTTATAATACAAAGATTTAAACTATATTAAAAAAATCTATAAAAATATATATAATCTAATAAATAAAATATATAATATATTTTTAATAAATTAATTGAATACAGCAG